ATCACCTCAGAATCTTTAAACAAGCTAATTAAGAATGAAAACACATTGTGAAGTCATTTAAGAAATCAGCCTTGGTTGTTGTGTAGTGATTTCTTTCTGTGGATTTAGCTTGCGGGGAACTGATGTACTGACATATAGCTCCGTCCCTCTCCAAAACAGGGAGCAATGTAAATATAACATGTACTTTATATTATGCAATATATATATGGACTTATTATTATAGACAAAAAAGGTAGACACTAAATAAATGAGTCAGGAGACTTCTCTTTCCTCTTTTCCCCCCTCAACATTGGAGATTCAGAGCAACACATTGAGTTTTCTCTCCGGGGCTCTGTCTTTACAGATACATAAAATAGCAGGACCACAGGTTCATTTGCATTCATTTGCATGTGATCTGCATACAATCATACAGATTACATTGTATTTCCTGGTGTTTTCAGGATTTTTTTTTCTTTTTTTTCTCTCTTAAAGACTGTCAAGATATTCTGAACCATAAGTGACATCTGGGAAAGAAGAGAGCAAAAATAACAGAAGTTAATGATACAAATGCTTTGTTTTCATAGTACTTTTAGTTTTCACTTCTCCCAGAGACAGAAGTACATTGGGATAAATATCAGAAATACTGTTAAATCAGTTGTTGAGAGAATAGTGCTACGTCTTTTTTCCTTAATTGCAACAGCAGTCTACCCATTGTTCGGTACAAATTTCCCTTATCTCTATATTTTTATGTTGGTTGTATAAAAGAGGAGTGTTTGGTAGAAATGTATGCTATGGCTTCCTGGGAAGATTACACAAGATTTGCCCTCGGCTGACCTGCCACTGGGAGTAAGGCCACAGATTTGATTTAAAGCCGTATCAAGTGAAGTAGATGGCCCTATGGAAAGATGCTGTGACCTGGTTTCATAATAAGAAAAGGAAGGAGAACTTGAATTTGCATGGATTCTATTCTTTTTTTTTTTTTTTCAGATGAAGATGGGAAAATTCTTATAAAAAGATCATGGGGCACAAAATTTCACAATTTACTTAAAATCTTTTGAGGAAATAAGATTTCCCCCATTCCAAAACTTGAACCCATATTGCTTCAGCCTGATGCATGAGAAGCAAAGGGGAAAAATAAGAAGTGAAACAAATTAGGCAAGTGATAACTAGAGCAGAAACAATGAACATCCTAAAAGAAATAAAAGTTTCAAAAGGAATCTATTTCAGTGTTTTAATAATTGTATTTAGAGAGAGTTTAAAGTCATAGTCCAGAATTTATTCTGTAACATCAGTGCTTCTTGACCTCAGCATTGTGGGGTGTTGAGTCAGACATGAACTTCACATCCCCAAAAGAAAGATGCATGAGGTGTGGTGCTATTAAATATCCAGCTGCATTATTTAAATTCCCTGCAGACTAATTTTGCGAACATTTCTGGTAGAAGTGAATGTTTTTACTGAATAGGGCTGTGCTATCTCAAGTAGGAACAGGTTGGACAGAAATGGTGCAGAGGTTTCCAGGTAGTCCTGAAAGAGCATGGGTGTTGAGAGGATAAAGAGAAAATGATCTTGTGGTTGTTCGTTGGTTCCAGTTGATGGGGATGAACAGGATTCCTTTCTGGGGATGGCAGACAAGACCTATTTTTTAAAAACATGTTCTTTTATTCTTTTGCCTTTCTTGGCATTTAAATCATCAAGACTGATGAAAATGGAAATTTGGGGGACTTACTGTACATCTGGAAAGCGATTTGGGAAAACAGACACAGCTGTGCCACCCTGTTCTTAATTATTGTCTGCCAGGCGCCAAGTAAGGAGTGGATAATGCAGCATGTTGCAGGGTGTGAAGCGTTTGCTGTCTTTGGCCTGTGTTGAGTTGAACAGCTGCCTTTTTTCTTATGAGCAACGGATATAGTTTCCAGGCCCCCAAGTTATTGGGGAATTTTGGGTGATTTGGACTGAGAAATAGGGACTTAAACTTTTTCACTAGTGGCAGAAAATTTTGATTGGCAGTTTGGAAACTTGAGAACCGAACAGTTGGTTTTGAAGGTGTTGCTTGCAAAAAGGAGGAAAAAGGGTAATTTGAACTAAGAATTGTTTTGGAGTGGACTTGATTATTCCAAGGAAACGGTTGTGTTAAGTTGTGTTAAGTTGTGTGCAGTTCAGCTGGTTATTTTGAATAAATTCTTGAATTTATTTATCTGAATTCTTGAAGCCAGAATTCAAAATTGGAGCGCTTTGGCTAAAACAGTACAATTTTAGTGCCTCTGTGAAAGAGAGAGAGAGAGAGAGGGAGAGAGAGATTTCCATTTAAAAACAACAACCATAGGAAAGATTCACTCAGATATTAGAAGATGTGGGTTTTATATTTGGTCAAAAGTGGCAGGCATGTTTCCCTTCCTGGATGGATGAAGGTAGATGTTTCTGGATGAAGACAGGGTAGATGGCATCATATTCTCGAGAGACTTGACATGACTCTGAAGGGCCCAGGAGCTTCCAGGGGCCCCAGCAGTGGTGGGCAGTGGCCAGATCCAGGCAATCACTCATAAAAGCGGGTTCTCAGGTGCTGTCGCTGCAAGCCCTGTTCCCCCCACCTTCCAGGCACACTTTGAAGGGAGCGCCTTGGTCTTTCTCAGTGTATACTGGGGGCGGGGACTAAGGAAACACAAAGATCTTGAAGAGAAGGGGGCCAGGGAGGACTTTGTTTCTTTGAAGTGTAAGCTAACTTGTTGGCTTAATAGAAGGCAGCTGCCCAGGCAGCCGTGGACTCAAGCCCTTGCTTCAGCGGGCACTATGCTCTCGTTCTCCTAGTACTGGCTGTGAGTAATAGCTGGTGTTCGGGACTCAGTTCTCTGGGTGTTGGGGCTGAGGTGGGTGGGGTGGGAGAGGGCTGCTCTGAGGGGAAAGCGGTTGCTGTAGGAAGCTGCTGGTCGCTCTTCTGGCTGCCCTGGGCCTGGGAGTCTGTGGGCCCGAGCTCCTTCCTCAGCCGGGCGGGACTGGGGAGCAGAGTTCATGGAGTGAAGGGCCCTGAGATGTGGGCCAGCAAGCTGGGGGCTTATTTTGTCACCTGGGTGATTCTCAGAGGAAGGAGAGCCGGTCAGCTCTGTTTAACAAGGTCACTTTGGTGGCTGGGTTCATGGCAGATTAGACACAGTGGGGAAACGGACAGGGTACGTGCTGTTGACTTGAGGCGAGCCAGGGCAAACCTTGGGGGATGATAGTGTGATTTACCATGCTGTATTTCAGGAACGTCACCTTAAGATATTCTGGTCTGGCCCCCTTCCTCCCCAGTGATTCTGGTTTCAGGCAGTTTGACAGCAGTAAAGCAAAGACCAGCAGGCTGACCACCCCTGGACCTTTCCTCAGAGGCTCAGCAGCAGATTTCTTACCTTGACTAATCTTATTTCCCTACTGGGGGACCTACTGAAGAGGAGGTTGGGCTCTCAGCTCCTCTACTGTGTCCTTCCAGCCTGTTGTCTGAGATAGACGCACAGACCAACGGACTGAGTAGGGAATGACTTATGCCCAGACGTGTTCAGATACTCAAAACACCTTATTTGGTCTCGTAAGAGTTCTTCTCGCCCCTAGATCTGCACTGGGGATTTGGTGGCAATTAACCTCAAAGGGGAACATTTTACTGGTGGGAAAGGAAGAGTTTGTTTTTTTTTTTCTAAAAGATCATTTATTTTCATTGCTGTTTCTCCTGTCTGTTGGTTGCATAAAATCGGTAAACACAGATCTGGGGTAGAGATTGTTCTGACCCAGGCCTCTTGATAAGGCCTGAAAGTCTTTAGCAGAAAGGCTTTTGGAGAACTCTTAATTCCCCAACCCCACTTGCATCTGAGCATGTCTGGCAGCGTTTTACAAGTGTTGCTGTTTGTGATGTGATAGGGCTGTGCTCTGTAAAATGGAAAGTGTGGGCACCTTCTAGGCTCTCTCAAAGTTGTGTTTCTTTGGTGGTCTTTGTAGCGCCATTTATTCATACCAAAGAAAGGACATGTTGGGAGGTACAAAGGGGCAGGGGAAATGTTTCTATGAATGAATGAATGAAGCAAACGGCTTAACTTACAAATGTAGGCCGCACTTGTCCTCATGAATGTGTTCAGACATGCATTTAGGCATCCACTCCCCTAAGGGAAGACTACAGTCTGAAGCATTATCTTGAAGCAAATATTAGTAACTAATAATCCTATGTGCCAGCCTGTGTTCCTTCCTTAGTTCCACTGTGAGATAGGTACTCAACTGCTCTGGTGTTCCCAGAGATGAGGAAACACTCCTCTGGCCACTGAGCTGTAAGGGGCAGCAGGGCTGAGTGTGGACTCTGGAGGGTGGGCTTCAGAGCGGCTGCTGAGGCCCCAGGTGGGTTTCCTCTTTAGGTGAATTTGTAATGAATGTGTACTCTCCTTGCATGTTATTCCTATTTTTTGGAATAACTCAAGGGATAGGGTGTTCTTGTCAAGGGTCTCTTGGGAAGGCAGGGCACCGGTGTGTCTCAGATGTAGCATCCTCATCGGTTCTCAGTTCTCTGGTTCTCATCAGAATTTCTGGGAGTGGGGTCCTGGTATCAGAATTTCTCAGAAGCTTCCCAGGAGGTTCTGGTGCAGCCACTGATTGGGCTTTAGGGAGCCTCTCACCTGCACAGCGCCTTCTCTGAAGGCGCTCCCCTGAGGGTTTCTGAGCCCTGCCGGGCAGGCGGAGGTGTGGGTTTAAGACTGTGGCCTTGGCATCGGCAGTCCTGGGTTGGAGGCCTGGCTTCTTTGCTTGTTAGCCCTGGAACCCTTGGGCAGTCACTCAACTTCTTCGGCCTCCTGTTTGTTCGCCTGCACAGTGAGGAAACAGGTCTGGCGTCCAGTGGGTATCCTGAGGATTAGGAGGTATCACACGTGAAAGTTAGCCTGGCGCTGAACCCCAGCCATGATTAGTCTAACTGCATGGAGAGGGGGACCAAAAGCGGTGGGTCTTTTTGCAGGTGGACTGACTGCCTTTTTTCTTTTCGTCTTTCTTCCTGCTGCCCTCCTCGCCCCCAGGACGGCTCGCTGGGAAACATCGATGACCTGGCACAGCAGTATGCAGATTATTACAACACCTGTTTCTCTGATGTGTGCGAGAGGATGGAGGAGCTCCGGAAACGGCGGGTGTCCCAGGACCTGGATGTGGTGAGTGGGTGGCACTGAGAACATGCTTTTACCCGGCGGGGCTACTGGGTGTCCTGCTCCTGATCCAGCACCCCCTCCAGGCCTTCTGACGGTCCTGGGTGTGCCTGGGGCGTCCCTCTGTAAGTTGCTGTGCTAGATCGGGGTACAAAGTTCAGGTCCCAAAGGATGAATCATCTAGCTCTGTGGTCATCAGATGAATTGAGTATTCGCTGGGATGGCATGACCAAATCTTTGTATTCACAAAAAGACTAGATTTTATGTTTTAACCTAAGTGACAAGAGTGTTTTCCCTGTTGGCCAGTGTACACTATGGACTCTAAGCCTGAAGACTGGTTTTTTTTTGTTTTGTTTTGTTTTTTTTAAGATTTTTATTTATTTGACAGGGAGAGACACAGCGAGAGAGGGAACACAAGCAGGGAGAGTGGGAGAGGGAGAAGCAGGCTCCGCGCTGAGCAGGGAGCCCGATGCGGGGCTCGATCCCAGGACCCTGGGACCATGACCTGAGCTGAAGGCAGACGCCTAACGACTGAGCCACCCAGGCGCCCAAGCCTGAAGACTGTTTAGGCTAGATCTTTTCTTCTTTCCTTCCACCCTCCCGCCCGCCCTCCCTTCCTTCCTAAAATAAAATTTTAAGAAGCCAGAAACCACCCTGATTTCTCACCTGGTAATTACCATGTTGGTATTTTAGCAGATCCCTGCTCAGTACTTTTCCTGGCATTTTTACATCAGCAATGTAATTCTTGCTTTTTTACTTAATATTTTATTATAGTTCTTCCATGTCATTAAGATCTTCATAATCACCATTTTTCATGGCTCTAGCCTTGCACTCAGGTGTTTGTTGAAATTCATTTGGCTGTTTCATGAAGACCGTTTAGGATTAATGCCGCATTTGAATTTGCATGTGATAAATAGTAAATAAATAGCTTAGGTCTCTCTGTAATCTGTATGTGTGCTAGTGTTTCCATATTGTGCATTTGCTACGAAAAAATCTTACTGAAACTTCTGCGCTTATTAATTTAAATTTTCATTGTATATTTTATTTGGATTCATCTGTCAGTGCTTTTCAAATTGTTTTATTTCACTGTGGTGACCTCAAGACCCCTTCAGGAATGTCTCCTCATCCAGACCAACTCCTTTTTGACCATCTTTTATATACGGGGGGGTGGCGGGTAGGAGAAGGGGCCACATGGTTCTGTTCCAAATAAGAGTCTTCTCTGTGCCTTTAAAAACAGTTTGAAAACTGCTGCTTCACTCGAATCCTTATTTATTTATTTTTTAAAAATTCCATAAATCTGCTTAGGGTAGGAATAAAAGAAAAAGCAATAATTAAGAAACTCAGAACAAAGAATTCATTTATTAATAATTCTTTTATATTATAAAGGATCTATTATATAACAACTAGTTTAGGCACCTTTGTTATTCTGCAAGTGGACGTGCTTCACTTCTACAGTGAGACTCTGGCATTCCTGTGGACTTTAATTTCTTTCCTTAACTCCACCTAAGTGAAGATTCTTCAGGTCAGGAGTAACAGTGTATCATGACTGTCAGATACCTATTGATTCTCTTTTTTTTGTGGTTCACTGCCTGAGCAGTAGGCAGTGGTGGGAGTTCGTACAATTGAGTTGATTGAGGCTGAGAAGCATGGATTGGGGGCTGAGAGCCATCATCCTGGGAGCCTAACATCCTGGCCCAGGCAGGCACATGGGCGTCATCATTGCCCAGGGCATCTTTCCTGTAACTTTGTCGTCTGGAATGTGTGAATGGCAGGGTTGTTTCTTCCTTTTTAACAAAAGTAACCTCATGTGGCCGAGGACTCCATTGAAATTAATTAGGCTCTTTTATTAGGGCATCGTTAATGAAAAAGGACGGCCCCCCTTTTTTCTGTGGGGGGCAAGATGGCAGCTGAACAACAACTTAAAAATTGCACTGAATTCTTGGATATTGTAATTTTGACCTTGAATGATAGTCTGGTAGCATACTTTGTGGCTTCCTTGGACATTTTGCCATGCAAGGAAATGTTTGCTGTGAATTGGTAGATGATCCTGGATGTAACGCGCAACTGCTCTCCCAGAATTCTAGCTGGTTAGGAGTCGGGGCTACCATCATCACCGTAAGGTGTTTAGGAACCTTGGAAGGCAGCATCTAGGTAGGAAGGAAAGCCTGTTTGGCAGTGGGATAAATACCTTCTTCCCATTTAGACAGATGGGCTTAATTTGGTGTGCTGTGTTCCAGAGCTGCAAAAGATAGTCTGGGGGAAAAAAAGGCACCACATGAGCTTAATTAGTTCTCATCAAAGGTGCAGGAATGTGGTGGTGGGTAAAATTGATGGGAGCTCATTGGAGCCAGGCTGGAAACTTCGTTCATCCTTTAAACAGTAGTTAGTGAAAAAAGTAAGATCCCAGATAGGTATATTCAGGTTCTCTTTCTAGGAAATTCTAGGCAGGTTGGAGAGGTAAAGGGGAGCTCTGGAACTGCTGAATGCCAGGTTAGATGCCGTGTGTCCTGTATGTCATCCACATGGTTCAGGAATCTAGAAGTCCATGTGAGATGTGCTTTAAGGTCATCCATCATTCATTTGGGCCATGTGTGCAACTCTAGCAACATATTCCAAGTTCCCTCTCATGGTGGTTAGCCCATCACAGATTGAGTTCTGATAGGAACTCATTTTCTTGAAAAGCTGTAACTTTCCGTCCATAATGCTCCCTTTATTGTATTATTTTATTTATTTTTTCATTATTTTATTGCACATTTTTCCACTTTTGGACAAGTAGACAAACTTCTTCCCTGTTCTGCTGTTGGAGCAGTATGGGTCTGAGGACCTGCAACTTTATACTCCTTTCGATGTCCATAAGCAGTCCCGTGAAAGCTGAACTGAGGTGGTTTGGAAAAGAAATAATCCACCAAAAGCAGTAAGAGAAATACAGTAGGAGCCTAAAGAGTTGTTTTTTTTTTGTTGTTTTTTTTTTAAAGAGAGATTGAGAACACAACAGCCGGGGTGTGGGGAGTTAGGGAGTGGGTAGAGTCCTAAGCAGGCTCCAGACCTAGCCCAGAGACGGACCTGGGGCTCGATCTCATGACCCTGAGATCATGATCTGAGCCAAAATCTGATGCTTAATCTACTGAACCACTCGGGCGCCCCACCTAAAGCATTTTGTACGGGAAAAAAGTAGCATTAAGTTTGTTGTGTCTGCTGTAGAAAAAGTCATTCAGAGAAAGCCTTGAATATAGAGTTTTGAACGATGGGTTAAATCAGTTTATGACTTTGTTTCATTTCAGATTCTCTGGGTGGATTTTGGCAATTGAGGGAATATTCTCTAGATAGAATAGATACCTAGATATTTGTGTTTGGCTTTAAAAGTCAAAAAATGCATTGTCTTTAAGAGCTAATTACATGTCAACCAGAGAACAAACCAACCAAAAAGATACCCTGCCCACAGCAATGCTTGACTTAACCCTGAAAAATATAAGGTTTTGATAATTATGTTAGTAATTAACTTTCTGGATTGAATATCGAGCTACTTTTCCAGGACCTAATCACCCGGCTCCCTACTGACATAAAGCACTTCCTTGATAAAGTGTTTTTGGGGCCAGTTAGTTTAGATGAAGGCAACAGAGAGTACAGATGGGTGAACATTCAACAGTATAAACAAGGATTATGATTCAAATTTATAACTACGGAGAGAGTTTTTATTTAGCACCAAACGGGCCCTAAAGGAACAGTATGTCTGGACCTGAGCCTTTGCCTCTGCTGGGGATTGGGACATAAGTGCTTGTGAACAGCAGGGAAGCTGCTCATATTTCTACACATTTGGCACATCCCTTAGCACTGTGTGTTTTTTTGGCTGGGCGAGTCTGCATTTGGAAATGATAACGGCTTTCCAAGTCCATAATGGGCCCATCTCTAGTGATGCGAAGTCCAACATCTGTCAAAATGACACGGCGGCTAGAAAGGGACACAGGCAAGGTGGGCAGTTATGACCGGCCATATCGGCTTCCTCGGCATCTGTGAGGTTTTGAGTGTGCCTGGGTGTGGACAGAAAACAAGTGTGTGTGGTCGTTGGTGCAATACAGCCGTGACGAAGGAGTCCCTCCTTACAGGGGACCTGGTTGACAAATGTCAGCCAAAGCCTAGCTTGGGCTCGGTGCCAGATCATGATCACCTCTGCGTGTGCACCAGGAAATGGGGGCCCAGGTGGAGACTCACGCAGGTTTTTAGGGACCAGGGGTGCAGATTCAAATATTGCACGTTATAACAGACAGATGTGACATCACAGCCATTGCCAATGGTGTATTTATAGGAGTAAACAGATTATTTCTAGCTTTTTATTTTGGCAATTAAACATATATAAACAGCATTCTGTAACAAACTTCCGTGCCTCTTACTCAGCTTCTATACTTGTTAGCATTTCGACGATCTTATGTTATCCTTACTCCCCACACCCACTTCATTGTTATTTTTGAAAAGTTCTTTGTGAGGCTAAATTTGCATATTGAAATGCACAGATCTCAGCTCTATGATTTTGTCAAGAGGATGTATCCATGCCATTCACACTCTAGCATGATATAGGACATAGTTACCAGCCCTGCCAAATTCCCTCAGTCCCTTCCCACAGCAAATCCTGTGTTGAGGACAGGGAATTTTTTTGGTCTGTTTTGGTCACTTCACTTCTGCATTCCAACATAGAGAACAGTGCATGGTGCGCAAGAGGTAACGTGATAAGTATTTGTTGAGTTCATTTATTATGTATTTTTAAATATTTTATGAACATTAAGCCTGTATCTGAGATTTTGCCTTTCTAGAAAGACCGGTAAAAGATGTTTTCCCCATCCACAAAGAGGTCACAATTTAGTTGGGGGCATTAGACAAGTAAACAGATTATTAAAATGCTGTGCGGGGGTACAGAGAAGAGCCCCTGACCCAGGGTAGGAAAGTCAGGGAAGGCTTCCTGCAAGAGGTGATACCCAAGCCCGCTCATTAAGGACACAGAATATTAACCTGAT